CCCCTGTCACACACAGAGCTGCAGGGCAGTCAGGAGATTGGGGAGCTCCCCCCTATCAGGCACAGAGGAGGGCTGATCAGGGGGTTGGGGTGCCTTCCCCTGTCACGAACAGAGTAGGGCGGATAGGGAGGTTGTGGCCCCGCCCCCTGTCACTCACAGAGCCACAGGGCGATCCGGGGGTTTGGGCGCTGCCCCCTGTCATGCTGATCCCGGTGCCGGGAGCCTCGCTGCTCCGCTGATCCCGGTGCTGGGAGGCATATTATTTTTTTACTATATAGGATAGAGGCCTGGTGCACGGGTGGGGGCCGGCTGGTTTGCCCTGAAGGGTGTCCTGGATCAGGGTGGGCCCCACTGGGGGGGTGCCTGGCCAGTCTGGGTGAGGGGCTGAGGGCTGTTTTCCAGCTGGCGAGTGACTAAAGCTTCGCGAGTGACTGAAGCTTCCAACCGCTCCTTGTTTTCTTCTCTTTTTTTTTTTTTTTTCTGGGCCAGCTTTAGCTCTGGGGCCTCGCTGCTGAAAACATAGATACAATGTTGCGGTCCGAGCCCGGCTGCATGGAAGCCCTTTTCTGGGGTTTTGTTTAGCTTCTTATTTGCAACATAGTATATAGTTGCTTAGAGTTGCAACTGAGAGGCTGGCAAGTTAGGCGGGGAACGTTGGAGTCTGCAGCAAGCAAGCCTCCCTGTTCGCTTCAGTGCCTGGCTGCCGGCCGCCATCTTGGCTGACAGTTAATTTGCATATACTCACTGATTAGCCAATGAAAAGGGTAGCGGTCGTACGCCAATTACCATGTTTCTCTTTTATTAGTGTAGATGTTCTTACTGATTTTTTGAAAGAGAGGAAGGAGGAGAGAGATAGAAACATCTGAGAAGGAAACATCAACATGAGGATCCAGCATGACATGCAGGCATGTGCCCTGATCCAGAATCTAACCAGTGACCTCATGGAGCCTAGGTCAATGCTCAATCTCTGAACCATATTGGCCTGGTTAATTTATCTACTCTTGAACCTGGGTGAATAAGGATGAAAACAGAACTGGGCACTGGATACATGTAGGTAATTTTCTTTCTTTCTTTTTTTAATCCTCACCCGAGGATATTTTTCCATTGGTTTTTTTAGAGAGAGTGGAAGAGATATGGAAAGACAGAAATATCGATGTGAGAGAAACACATCGATTAGTTGCCTCCTGCACAAGCTCCAACCAGGGCCTGAGCCAGGAAGGAGCCTGTAACTGAGGTAGGTACTCCTGACTAGAATCGAACCTGGGACCCTTGGGTCTGTAGGCCGACCCTCTATTCACTGAGCCAAACTGGCTAGGCTATTGTAGAACATTTTCTAACACAGGGACACTTTGGGGATACCTAGTCTTTAATTGGCTTAATTTTAGGGTACCAACATGTCTAAGCCATCCAAAGAACGGTGTGGGTCTGGAGTTACCAGCCAACGTGCCCATGAAAATCATACATAAAATAAGGCTGCTCTGTTGGCTTCTCCCATACACATTTTTTGGCAATGTTATAAACAAAACTTGAGAGGCTGAATTTTGATGATGTTAAAAAATTAGAGTATTGTCCCTTGTCCCATGGTCACCAGCCCATTTAGGTCTATTCTGGGGCATAGGGAAGCCAGTCCCTTGCCTATATAACAGACTGGCCTGAGAGATGTGCATATTACTATAAAGCATCATTGAGGGATCAAGAACAGCTTCAGTTTGATGACCATGTGTTACAGAGCAAGAGTTTTAGATGAGGGGAAAGGGGCAATGGAGTGTGCCCACCAATGATCTCCAAGCCCCCTGGTCTGGAACATTAGGAGTTGGCCAAGCAACGGACACAGTAGTTGGGGTGTTCCGTGTGGCACAGTTGAAGAAGGCACGGAGGTTTTGTTTCCTCTCTCAAGGTATAATCTTGCACTTTACAGTTTACAGTCTTTCTTTTTTATTACATCACCACAATATCAAAAGGACTATAGCCAAGGATCACTGAAGCTAATGATATGGAACTAAGCCACAGAAAGGACACTATCTGAAGGATAACACAGAGGTCAGAGAGACTAGAAAGGACACAGCCAGAGGTAGGCAGTACTCACCCTTTACACAGCCAGCAAACACCTGAAGCTAATCCCAGACCCTAAGGGTCTGCATGTCAAGAAGCACTGCTGCTCATGAACCCAGGCACTACATCAGCCACTGATTCACTGGGGCCATGTCAGTGACTGCCTATGTGAGGGACTCTGCCTCCTCCTTGCCTTCTCTACAGAAGAACCAAGAGGTTATGATGTATGAGACAAGCAGAGTGCTTCAGACCTGGGCTGCCCAGATGAAGGGCTTGGTACTGGTGCCAGAATCTTCACGTGTCAGGTTGGGGATTGTGCTGGTGTTGGTACTGAGTTTGCTGCCAAGCCTGTACTGTGACCTGTACTCATCCTATGAAATAGTCATTCCCAAGGCTCTGACAGTTCATGGAAGACAAGACCCAGTGGAGGAGGCTTCTTATATGTTATGTATTCAGGGCCAGAAACAGGTGATTCACCTGAAAGTGAAGACAGACTATTATATCAAGAACTTTCCAGTCTTCAGCTACCACAATGGCATTCTGGGACAAGAAATGCCTTTCATCTCACATGACTGTCACTATGAAGGCTACATAGAAGGACTCCCGGGTTCTTTTGTTTCTGTCAACACCTGTTCAGGCCTCAGGGGCATCCTGATTAAGGAGGGGAAATCCTATGGCATTGAGCCCATGGACTCTTCAAAACGGTTTGAACATGTGTTGTACACCATGGCCCATCAAGCTCCAGTCTCCTGCAGTGTCACTTCCAAAGACAGCACAGTGGTGTCCACCAGCCGACAACAAGGGAGCAGGAAGCCTGGCGGTCTACAGGAGCTGTCCTACTTGTGGTCACTCACCAAGTATGTGGAGATGTTTGTTGTGGTCAACAACCAGCGGTTCCAAATGTGGGGCAGTAACGTCAATGAGACGGTCCAGAGAGTGATGCACATCATTGCCCTGGCCAACAGCTTCACTAGGGGAATAAACACAGAGGTGGTGCTGGCTGGAATGGAGATTTGGACCGAGGGGGACCTCATAGAGGTCCCAGTGGACCTGCAAGTTACACTCGGGAATTTCAACAGCTGGAGACAAGAGAAGCTCCTCCATCGTGTGAAGCATGATGTTGCCCACATGATTGTCGGACAGCATCCTGCACAGGGTATGGGACAGGCATTTCTCAATGGTGCCTGTTCAAGTGGTTTTGCAGCAGCTGTTGAATCCTTCCATCATGAAGATGTCCTGCTGTTTGCAGCGCTCATGGTCCATGAGCTTGGGCACAACTTGGGTATTCGGCACGACCACTCAGCCTGCATTTGTAGAGACAAACCCCTCTGCCTCATGCAGGACAATATCACTAAAGAAAGTGGCTTCAGCAACTGTAGCTCTGACGACTTCTACCAGTTCCTCCAGGAACACAGAGGGGCCTGCCTATTTAACAACCCTCAGCGGCACAAAGGCCGCTTGCGGAGGGGTTCCTACTGTGGAAATGGTGTGGTGGAGGGTGAGGAGCAGTGTGACTGTGGTTCTGCCTGTTACACTGACCCGTGCTGTGACCAAACATGTAGGCTGAAGGGGAGTGCAGAATGTAGTGATGGACTCTGCTGTTTTGGTTGCCGATTGAAGAATAAGGGATTCATGTGCCGTTCTGCTTTGGGAGAGTGTGACCTCCCAGAGTATTGTGATGGTACCTCTGCAGAGTGCCCCACAGACACCTATAAGCAAGATGGGACGTCGTGCGGTAGACTGCACTACTGTGTTGGGGGTCTGTGTAGAAACCCTGATAATCAATGCATGGCTATGTATGGGGACACTGCACGGTCAGCCCCAGAAAACTGTTACATTTCAATGAACAGCAAAGGGGACCGGTTTGGAAACTGTGGCCGTCCCACCTCAGCAATGTCAAGATATGTTAAGTGTTTTGATGATAATGTATTTTGTGGGAAAATTATATGTACAAATATTAGACGGGTCCCATCCATCAAACCCCATCACACACTGATCCAGATTCCTTATGAAGGTGACTTCTGCTGGAGCTTGGATGTCTATAACATTACTGATGTCCCTGATGAGGGAGATGTGCACTCTGGCACTGCTTGTGCCCCAAACAAAGTCTGCATGAATTACTCCTGCACTGACCGTGCTGTGCTCAACTATGACTGCAGACCAGCAGAAATGTGCAATGGGAGAGGAGTCTGTAACAATGTAAGGCACTGCCACTGTGAGGCTGGCTATGCACCCCCCGACTGCAGAACTCCAGGAAATGGGGGGAGTGTGGACAGTGGTTCTCCTGGCAAAATAGAGGATGAAAATCTAAGTGAGGATGAAAGGAAAAGTCATAGTGTTGATCATGGTAATTTTGGCAGAGGTGGTGAGAATAGAAATGAAAGGAAAGCCACGGAAGAGGTTGGGTTGATAATCCCCTTTTTTATTTTCGCAGTACTTTTTTCATTTACAATTTGCTGTTGCTGTTGTTGTTTTTGTGCAATGATATTTGGTCTACTTTTTGGTGCTGGTATTGGGACTGGAAAGAATTTATTTCCATGTTCACATGAAGCTCCAGAAGAAAGTGGAGAAGCAGTTACACAAGAAGAGAAGAAGGAATTAAAACACGAAAAACCAAAAGCGGAAAATAAGTAGTGATAGGAAGAAGTCTTTTATAGCAAACTCTTCATACACTTGGTGGAAGGAGGCTCAGTAGAGCAAATGTGAAGTGGGCATTGGCAGCAGCATTGGCTCTGATCAGGACTCTAAAGACTGTAGAAATGTACTGATGTGGGAGGAGAGAGAGATGATTTTCTTCTTCTTTTACTAATTAATTACATATGCATATGTGAAATCATTTCAAGGCTTTTACTACTTTTTCCCGTTTTCACATTTCATGAAACCATTTAAATAAACTTTTCTCATGGACCATTCCTATCAATGTCTTGTCTTAATTGGGACATTTTTGAGTTACCAGCTTTTCAGTGAATGTTACCTTCTAATCATCTTTGTTTGACATATATATCTGTTTCAGGTTTTTCATCCCAATCACAACTACACATTATATTAGGAAGGTTGTTTACTTGGTTTGTTGTTCTTATTTAACTGGTGAAATATACTCATTAAATGAAAAGATTTTAAATTGAAAAGAAGTCTGGTCCATGTGGCTTAGTGGTTGAGTGTGAATCTATGAATCACGAGTTCTCGGCTGGATTCTAGGTTGGGGCATATGCTAGAGTTGGGGCTTGATCCCCAGTGGGAGGCATACAGGAGGCAGTCAGCCAATGGTTCTCTCTCTTTCTGTCCCTTTGCCTTCCTCTCTGAATCAATAAAAAATACTTAAAAAAAATAAATAATAGTGTTCAGATAAGGCACATAAACTAGGTCTCCTTTTTGTGGCCTATGAACTAGGTCTCCTTTAGATTTGAGACTCTCAGTAAAGGGCTATATCTGATCCAGGGTGGTGTGATCACCCTGTGTCTAAGTACATGGGAGAGAGTAAACAACCTAGGCAAGAGGCAAGCTTGTCCAGTGCTAAGTCTAGTTGGAAGTATTCATTTTTCCTTTTTTTCTGATTTTCTAGTTTATGTATTATATTTATTTCTGATTTCCATTATTTAATTTTATTTTTGTTAATCCTCACCTGAAGTCATTTTTCCATTGATTTTTAGAGAGTGGAAGGAATGGGGACAGAGTGAGAAACATCGATGTGAGAGAGACATACCTATTATGGGGAGACCAGGATCGGGGATTGGGCCTACAACCGAGGTATTTCCCCTTGAATAGAATCCAACCTGCCATCCTTCAGTCTGTAGGCTGATGCTCTATTCATTGAGCCAAACTGGCTATTTCTCATTTCCATTATTAAGTTTATATATTATTGACTGACAATCTAAAGGAACAGAGCATTGGAGGGTAATTAATTGTCTGTAAGGAGAGCACAAAGCATGTAAAATAATAACATTATTAATTCTGTGCAAGACACTATTCTAAACATTTTACATTCATTATCTTAACCCTCCCATTCACCCTATTACACCATCTTCTTCCACATGAGGAAACAAAAACAAGAGTTTTGCTCTAGAGCTAGTAAAAGGTGGAACCTGCATCCCACCCCAGCTATGACTGAATGTACCTTCCCCACTGCCTCATGAGCCTTTTCTTTCAGTAAAAAAAAAAAAAAGTAACCAGGAAGACAACTGATATGTCCTTACTTGCCCAGAAAAAACATGGCTTTTCCCTCATTGACTCTAATGAAACAAAAGCCTTAGAAATGGATGTTGCTCTCTATTATGAACCTACTGCACTGTGTAGTGATTATCAGTCAAAGTGTCCTTTCCCCATTCCATTCTGACATCATGGAGTGGCAGGTTTGTATCTTGTTCAGCTCTGAGGGCCCCGCTGATTGTAAGTGCTCAGTAAATGTTGACCAAGGGAAGGATTTAACCAGAGCCAACCTTAGGATAGGATGCACTTCTGCTAAAGTTTTACCTTATAAGGTTACAAACACTTTTATTTAAAAAATTACTTTTTTATTGTTGTTAATCCTCATCCAAGGATATTTTTTCCAGTGATATTTAGAGAGTTTGGAAGGAAGGAGGAGAAACAGACAGAGAGAAAGAAAGACATTGGTTGCCTCCCTGCATGCACATGCCCCTGGATCACAGCCGGAGGTACCGGCCCTCTGGGCTCAGTCCTTGGGCTGATGCTCTAACCAGTGATCCAAAGTGGTTAGAGCAAAATTTACATTATTTAAACTTGTTATGTTTACAAGCTTAATTTCAGAATAGAATTTTGGTATTCCACTGGGCAAAAAAATTGACATGTTTTCTCAAAAGCAAGAGCAGACTTTGGCCAAGAATATTTGCAAAACGCTGACTCTAAACAATTTCTAAGAAAGATTCAATATCACTTTTGTTATTTAATAAAATTATGGAAGTCTTGCATAAGATTGTGCTAGAATGAAATAAATTATGATATGAAGTTCTTGAATCAATTTGTAAATGACAAAGCCATGGTGGCTCCTTTACCAGTTAGAAAACATATTTAAAATTATTTAAGAAGAGAACAACAGAGGTTGAATCTTGACTGACCAAGTGATTACAACCTCATGCCTCTTTTATTGCTATCATCCAATTGGGCTCTCTAACGTTCGTTTTCTAGAGTAGACAATGTAAACATGCTGTGGCATTAATGTCCTGTGACAATTGGGTGGTCTTATCCATTTCAACCATTGTTTCCTATAACTTTTGAAAATAAGCATTTCCTCATATCAGTCCACCTAACAGGAAGAACCTCTCTGTTCATTTCATACCATGGCCACATCAGACTCTAGGTTTTTCATCATAGTCTTGTTTCCATTGAATAACCTTGCTCTTCCATATGCCTATTTAGTTCAGCTCTCACAGCTCCAGTGAGGATCTTGAAATTGATCCAACACAGCATCCTTTACTCTACTGAATGAAGCATGAGTTCTCTTTGAGGATACTCATGAAGAAAACCTATGGGGAAACTCAGTCTGAAACGAACCATCAAGCGGTTGTTTTCTATAGAACAGGGATATGTAAGCATCGTTGCATTGAGTGAAATTTCTAATTGGTACTCTGAGAGTTACAAATGTGTTTGTTTATTCATGGAACATGTTCTCAGAATATCAAATGCTGGAGGTATTCATGCATTAGTGGAAAAATGGAAAGAAATCTTGTAGGAGATAAAAGGAATAAACTCTGAAACCACAACATTTCTTCTAATAATGCATTTTCAGTCACTTAATAATCATGCGTTGGGTGGTAGTACAGATAATTTCATAGGACTGAAAAAAAGACAGGGTATCAGTGCCAGGGAACAGGAGAAAAAGCTCTCCTGGTGCCCTCCACTGACCACTTATTCACTCAGCGATCCTTCATAGTTCTGTGGATAATTTAGGTCATTGTAGAACTAAAGAAAATCACATACATATGCCAAACAAAGCAAAGGCTACCAATGAATCCTTTCCTTTTAAAAATTAGAATGATCAGGCCAGCATGGCTCAGTGGTTGAGCACTCACCTATGAACGAGAAGGTATAGTTCCATTCCAGGTCAGGGCACATGCCCAGGTTATGGGCTCAATTCCCAGTGTGGGGCGTGGAAGAGGCAGCCAATCAATGATTTTCTCTCATTATTGATGTTTCTGTCTCTCTCTTCCTCTTCCTCCCTCTCCGAGATCAATAAAAATATATTTAAAAAATAAAAAAAATTGGAAGGGATCCCAACTTTCAGGTAACTGATGTGTCTTGATTTAACAAAAGCTCACAGATAAGAATCTCCTTACAGGAAAATTAAAACAGCTGAAACAAAATGATATCAGTACATCAAATCCTCCAACTATTGAGAGTCTACACTAAAATATTCATATTTTATATAATAAGGCACGTAAAATAAAAACCTATGGTTTATTCATAAAATTTTTCAGAACAGATACAATTTTTATTGCTCTCTCTTGTCATGTTAGATGTTTTTATAAGCACAGTAAATATCTATCTATCTACACTAATAAAAGAGAAACATGGTAATTAGCGTACGACCGCTACCCTTTTCATTGGCTAATCAGTGAGTATATGCAAATTAACTGTCAGCCAAGATGGCAGCCGGCAGCCAGGCACTGAAGCGAGCAGGGAGGCTTGCTTGCTGCAGACTCCAACGTTCACCGCCTCACTTGCCGGCCTCTCAGTTGCAA